AGGGGAAGAGAATCTCAGGCGGGCTCTGCGCCCAGTGCAGAGTCAACATGGGGCTCAGTCTCACAATCCTGAGATCGTGACCTGAGCCAAAATCAAGAGTCAGATGCTTAACCAACTGAACCACCCAGGCGCCCCTGTAATGAGGATTTTTCTGAGCAAAGTTGATAAAGCTATTGCCTTCATGTTTTAAGAAACTGTCTTACAGTTCAGGCTCTCACGTGTTAAATGTTTATCAAAACTACAGCTACCGAAGACAAATTCTCTTTGATAAATGTTTTTAGATATGCTTAATCTGAAAATATTCTCAGAAAACTATTCATGATTCATTAATTTGTGTACTTCTAAAAAGTAACCTTTTCAGTAATTTAGACAATATCATCTAAGTCATTCTACTGAAACCTGTCTTCCAATATCTGTTTCAGCTCCAGCGTGCTGCTCTGCTCGCTACAACTTAGCAGTTTTGGCTTTTTTTGGTTTCTTCGTTCTCTATGCATTACGTGTGAATCTGAGTGTTGCGTTAGTGGATATGGTAGATTCAAATACAACTTCAGCAGATAACAGAACTTCTAAGGAGTGTGCAGAGCATTCTGCTCCCATAAAAGTTCTTCACAATCAAACGGTAAGTGCTACTTTTTAAACAATCTTAATCCTTAAATACATCCAAGTAAAAATATTGAAAGGTCTTTCTTCATCCTACAGAAACCACAAACACTTTATGCATGGAAGCTCTGAATGTTTTTCTTATGTGCTTTTTTCAGGAACTGGTTGAACAGTAAGGTAACTACAGCTACTGCTTCTTGGTGTAATACACTTTGATCTGTTTGAAAAGTAGTTTCTCAGTTTCCTCTATAAACATACCAACCATCCTTGAAGATAATTTGGAAAAACCTGTTTAGCATACCAGGAAATTTGATTGTTTTTGATGTTGCTGAATAGTTTTTATGGGACTATTCTGCAATAGCTATTTTACTTAAAAGGTTATGGTTGCAAGAGAGCTTAGGTCATCTGCAGGCTGAAGAATCAGGTCAATTTCTTAGGACGTTATTTTCCAAAGTTTATACATGCCTAACATAAGCTGCTTGAGTCACTTTGCCTGCTTCATGTTATAGTGGAATTGATAAGTATGTGTTCATCATTTGTTCATAATTGAGTTTTACATACATTAAATATTTTGTTTTGCTTATGACATGGGGAGATAGAGAAGGAGAAAAGGCTGGTGTCCTTTTTATGGTATATCTTCATCCATTTTCAGCGCTCACAAAGGAGCCAGATCACACTTGGGTTAGTCTCCTCTGCCGTTTATACACAAGAGCATCCAAGCTCAGAAGCGGGTTTCTGCCCAAACAACCAAACATACAAAATAATGACGTACCAAAATAGTTTTTTATTTGACTTTAATAACGTTGCTGAATACATATTTGAGTACACATCACCCACTTTCCCTACTTCAACCTGTGACTTATAACTGCTGGACGGTTCATGAGGTCCAAGAATTCTACAGATAAGCCACAAATTGGTACTTCAAATAAGGATAATTAGAGGGGTGCTTTGTATCTTTCCTTTTGGCAAATGCTTTTGTTGATCTAGCTAGTTATCTTCATCTGCCTTATATCAGCAGTAAAAAGAAATCCTGAGATGGTTCTTGACACATTGGCTCAGTGATACAACTATGTGAATTAAAGATGTCAGATATTCAGATGAGTCACTAAATCTTCATTATGACCTTACTATGTACTGCTACTAATTAAAAGAAAACTCCTACTCACATGGAGTCTATGGCTTGGTTTAAATGCTTGCTCTTTTGTCTTGTTTAATATGCTTGTGCGAGTACTTGTTCTGAATCAGGGAGATATTAATGATCTATATTTGTGCATACTAATAACCAACATTAAGTGAACACTTAAGTGTGTGTCAGGCCTTTTTCATTTAATCTTCCGAGACCGCAAATCCAGTAAGTAATAGAGCTAGGCTTGAACCCAGCCATGGCTCCAAAGCCTAGGTCAGCCACTACAATATTCTGTTTGGTAGAATTTCTGGATTAAGTCTGTGCCTCTTTTTTGAGCTTTCTTAGTTATGATCGTTACGAAGCCTCTACAACTCATCCTATAGTCTAGTTTCATAAAATAACAGGCCTTCTTGAAATTTATGGCTTTCAATTATTTTCCATTCACTTCTAGAAATTGCATGCCTATGCTGTGGTGACTCACCTACCTGATAGAAAGTTTGCAAGTTCTTCCGTCTGAAACAGTGGTTCAAAATTACATTTATATGTACTAACCTGCCAATTAGACAAAGGAGCTATTTAGTCAAGGTCTTAAAATGTTGTTGTTTTTTTTTTCCTCCTACTCTTTATAGGGTAAAAGGTACCAGTGGGATGCAGAAACTCAAGGATGGATTCTCGGTTCCTTTTTTTATGGCTACATCATCACCCAGATTCCTGGAGGATATATTGCGAGCAAAGTTGGGGGGAAACTGCTGCTAGGATTTGGGATCCTTGGCACTGCTATCTTCACCCTGTTCACTCCCATTGCTGCAGATTTTGGAGTTGGAGCCCTCATTGTACTCAGGGCACTAGAAGGACTGGGAGAGGTAATTTTTTTTCTCTCTTTTATTTTTCCTCTTACCCTGTATCACTTTCTTGTCTTCTTAAAGATATCATTCTTTGGTATGAATATAAACCAAAAATTGACATTGGAAGATAATAGGGCTTTATTTTTTAATTAGAAAGATAATTGGGGTGCCTGGGTGGCTCAGTCAGTTAAGCATCTGCCTTCAGCTCAGGTCATGATCTCAAGGTCCTGGGATGGAGTCCCGCATAGGGTTCCCTGCTTGGCTGGGAGTCTGCTTCTCCCCCTGCCTCTCCCCCTTGCCCCCACTCGTGCTCTCTCTCTCTCTCAAATAAATAAATAATATTCTTAAAAAAAAAAAAGAAAAGAAAAGAAAAGAAAAATGATTAACTAGAAAATAACCTGAGTAGATTGCATATCAGTGAGGTCAGTGAGCTCTCGAATGGGAGCATGCAGAAAATGGAAGATTTGCTAAAAGATCAGAGAAAACATTTTCCAGGGGACACTTCACAGCCCCTCCTCCTACTCACTCCTACTTCAGGAGATAAGAAAATAAACCACTGTTAAAACGGTTAAGATGGATAGACCATCCTTACCTTTGGAACTTGGCCACAGTTTATCTCTGCCTTATCATTGATTGCCCAGATCTAAAACACATTTTACACAATGGATTGTCAGGTTGCCTTGTTTTACTTTAGATGTGTTGTTATTCATAGAGCTTCCTCTTTGTTCTTTTTTCTGGTTCCCTAGCTTAGAGACAAATAATTTATCATTTTATGTAACTATCTTTCTTTACTTTTGTGATTCTTCTGACCTTTCTGCTGCTTTGGGAATTGTTATCAATTTTTATCTTTTTTTCCTCCCTCCTAAGATTTTTATCACTCGAAAATTTTAATTCCTTATCTTTCTTTTCCTTCCCACTTCTCTTTTGCATTTCATAATATGATTCCATTTATTTATTTATTTATTTATTTTAGAGAGGGAAAGAAAGAGAGGCAGGGAGGAGAGACAGAGGGAGGGAGAGAGAGAGAGAGAGAATCTTAAGCAGGCTCCATGCCCAGCACAGAGCCCAACACGGGGCTTGATCCCACGACCCCGAGATCATGACCTGAGCCGGAATCAGGAGTTGGACGTTCAACCGACTGTGCCACCCAGGTGCTCCCAGTACCTCTATCTTTAAATAGTGATCTCTTTTTGTTTCTGACTTTGAGCTTCTACCTTTGAAACTGAGACATAGGTTAATTTTGCTCTTAACATTCCTGTAACCCAAGCGAATTGTTGTCCTCCGGGTTTGGTTTATAGCATTAAGCTTATGTTAGGTAGCAATGTATCATGCTGTGTTGGAGAAACACTGACTGGAGTCATAAGATCAGAGTTTGAGTAATAACTCCCCTGTATCTAATGGTGAAACCTTACATAAATCTCTAGACCTCAGTTCCATAATTTTTAAAATTGGGACTAAAATACCTGCCCCATCCTCAGTCACAGCTCAGATGTGATAATGATTGCTAGAATACTTTGGAAATTGCCAAGTACTACTTTTTTTTTAAGCTTTGATCACTCATCCGAGCATTCTTATTTTGTTCTTATCAAATAGAGATGTACTAAATAAACTCTTTTGACTACAAAATAAAAATTACTCCCTTATTACCAGGTTCCTCTTCTGACATAAGTAAAATATACTTAATTGTAGTATATTTTCTCTGATCCAGATATTGAATCTCCTTGCTGAATGTATTCCCATATATTAGCTTCCTGTTTGTTTATGCCACTAATATAGCATTATAGTATATCATCTTACTACTGCTATCTCAAGTAACTGTGTTACTTCTGAATAGAAGTTAAGCTGTGTTTATTCTTCTTTTATCTTTCTCTGTTCCTCCAGTATGTATCACATGTACATTGCCTCATCCATAAACTTAGGTCAGCATCTTTCATCTCTAGCATCTGATTCACCATAAATATATCTACATGGTCCCTAGGGTTTTATAATAAATTTTTTCACAACATAACCTCTGTGCATATTTCCCAACACCTTAATCTTTATTCTGTAATGATTCATCCTGTGGATGCCCCATGATACAGATTCTTATCAACTTGCAATGCTGCCTAAATAATTTTTTTAAGATTTTATTTATTTAGGGGCGCCTGGGTAGCTCAGTTGGTTGAGCATCTGCCTTCGGCTCAGGTCATGATCCTGGGGTCCTGGGATCGAGCCCTGCATCAGGCTCTCTGCTCACTGGGGAGTCTGCTTCTCCCTCTCCCTCTGCCTCTATGCTCTCTCTCGCTCTCTCAAAAATAAATAAATAAAATCTTTAAAAAAAATTTTATATATTTATTTGGGAGAGTGAGAGAGAGCTCAGCAGGGGAGCAGAGGGAGAGAGAAAATCTCAAGGAGACTTCCCACCGAGTGTGGAGCCCAATGCAGGGCTCCATCTCACGACCCTGAGATCATTACCTGAGCCAAAATCAAGAGTTGGACCATGAACCAACTGAGCCACCCAGTTGCCCCTGCCTAAATCATTTTTGCCCTCCACTGGTATTTCTTTATTTCTTTCTTCTTCTTCTTCTTTTTTTTAAAGGAATCAGCAGAAAATACAAAGTGTCAAAGCATTTATTCTTGTCTCCATTAATAATAGCACTAGCTACCCTTTAGCTTTACAACAATCATGTGAGATAGGGAGTATTATCTTTGCTTTACAGATAAAAAAACTGAAGTTCAAGGAGGTTAACTAATCTTTGTTAGGCTGCACAGTTAGTGAGTAGCCAAACACAGCTGTGAGTCCACTGCTTTGAATCTACCAAAATCTATTCCCTCCCACCTCTCCTCTGGCATCTCCTCCTCTCCCAAGTCTCTGTGACCCTCCTGCCTCCACAGCTCTGTTGACTCTTCCTATCAGTAATTGACATTTACTAAGCTAGCTATCACCAAGGAAAGAAAAGAAAAAAAAAGACTATAAACACTCTAATTGAATTCATCAGGTTTTTGAAGGACAATTTTTCTTATTAAGGTCAATTTGAATTTTCTTCCAGTATCCCAAAGTATTAGCTCAGCATTTTTTTAAGTTATATATTGGTAGTAATATTCCCATTTCATTCAGGCTATTAATAAAGTGAATGAGTAAAATTGACCTTGAGAGAGATTCCTTTATGTCATCATGCAGTGTATTCTTTTAGATTTATTGTAAATCCTTACCTTGTAGTCCTCAAACCAGCTGACAGAACCCACAAATCTTTGTTCAGATTTTGGAAGTACTTCACTATAAGGTACTTTTAATCAGCACTGTGTAAACATCTCACCTCATGGAACCCAATTCTAGTTTGGTTCTTATCCAGA